TCCATTTACATTTGATAAGCCATCAGTAAATAAGGTCCAAGTACCTGGATTAGACCTGTTAAATACCTGCAGTTCTTTTTCTGCTTTTTCCTGTATCCCTGGGCTAAAATTTGCCACAAAATCTGCTAAAACCTGTGACTTTATTGCAGTTCTAGGTTGATATGTGATGTAATATTCACTTAGCTCTACAGCCCATTTGGCTAATCTACCTGATAACTCTTTATTATGCAATATATTACGCAAGGGATAGACAGTTACTACAGAGATAAGATGACATTAAAAATAATGTCTTAATTTCCTAGATGCCATAATTAATGCTAGTGCAAGTTTTTTTAAACGAAGATATCGAGTTTCAACATCTAATAAAGACTTGCTAATATAATAAATTGGAGATTGTTTACATTGGTCCTCCTGAACTAATACGGCACTTACAACTACTTCCGAAACATCAAGGTAGATGAGTAGTTTCTCCCCATCTTTTGGTTTGGCTAGCAATGGTGGATTTGACAAGTATGCTTTTAAATTTTTGAGCGCTTGTTGACATTCTTCAGACCATTCAAATTGATTTTGCCTTTTTAGGGCTGAAAAGAACTTAAAGCACTTTTTCGATGACTTTGAAATAAACCTTCCCAAAGCTGAAATTATTCCTGTCAAACTCTGTACTTTTTTTTTGCTTGTAAGTATATCCGAAATTTCTTCAATAGCCTTAATCTGCACGAGATTTACTTCAATGCCACAGTTAAAAACAAGGAATCCCAAGAACTTACCTGATGAGACGCCAAATGTACATTTCTCAGGATTTAACTTCATGTTAAATTTGCAAAAAATCTGAAATGTATCTGACAGATGTTGAATATGATCCCTTGCTTGTTGCGATTTGACTAGCATATCATCTATATACACCTCCATGGTTTTTTCTAGATGTTCTTGAAATATTTTGGTCACTAGCCTCTGGTACATGGCCCCAGTATTCTTTAGACCGAATGGCATAATTTTATAGCAGTAAGTCCCCCTGTCTGTAATAAAGGAAGTTTTTTCCTCATCTAGATGATCCATTTTGATCTGATTATATCCTGAATAGGTATCTAAAAAACTTAATAATCCATGTCCTGCAGTAGTATCAATTAGTTGATATATGAGCGGTAATGGAAAAGAATCTTTAGGGCAAACTTTATTTAGATCAGTATAGTCTACATAAACTCGCCACTTACCATTATTTTTGGGCACTACTACAGTATTTACCAACCAATTTGGATACTTTACCTCGCGGATAGACCCGATTTTTAAAGTCTTTTGTACCTCATCCTGAATCACCTGATTCTTGAAGGACCCTTGCTTCCTTTTCTTTTGTTTGACAGGTGGGTATGTTGGATCTTCATTCAGTTTGTGGGTCATTACCTCCAGTGGTATACCTATCATATCTGAATGCACCAAGAAAAATAATCCGCGTTAGCTTTTAAAAATTCAATTTACTTACGTTTCATTTCCAGACTGAGATTGGTTCCAATGTAAACTTTTCTGTTCGGCCAATGTACAAATAATACCACAGCTTCTAGTTCCTCGATTGTTGTTTTGATATTTTCATTTTCTTCTGGTTCTTGAATAATATCAGGCCTCGAGTATACATCTGTTTGCCCGTCTACAGTTGAGGCTTGTGTTGCTCCATCTTCAACTAAATTTTGTAATTGTTATTTTTCGTCGCTTTTTTGCACTTGAGTCTGCCACGGAGTTAATGCTTCGAGAAGCTTGTTGGTCACAATGGATTTGTCGTATTCCCCATTGTGATGGAAACTTGATAACTTGATGTAGGGTATATAGAACAACATCCATCTCGTGAATCCATGGTCTGCCGAAAATCATATTGTAAGCCATATCCATTTCTATCACTTGATGTTTGGTGTCTTTGACTACTCCTTCTGCGAATATGGTGAGTATTATTTCCCCTTTTTGTTACGACGCTCGAGTTGTCAAAACTAGACAAGGTTCGTTCCTTGGGTATCAACTTATCATTGGCTTGCATCTTGTTCAGCACTCTTAACAGAATGATATTCACAGAACTACCTAGATCAATCAAAACTCATTTTATATTAGTGTCATGTACAAGTAAAGATATTACCAGTGTATCATTGTGTGGGGTCAGCACGCCATCTACATCTGCATCATCAAATGTTATACTGTCTTTTTCCAAGACTTAATAGACTCGCTTCCCGTGGGTGACTATAATTTTTGACACCTTCTTTGCTGATGTGTATGTTACGCCATTGATCTTCTCTCCTCCACTTATGACGTTAACCGTTCTTTTTAGTGATGGAGGTTTCAGTGGTTCGTGCCTATTCTTCATATATGCCTACTTTCCCTTTTCACTAAACAATTCTGTTAAGTACCCTTTCTTTAATAGATGTTCAACTTCACCTTGTAATAATCTGCAATCCGCCGTTTTGTGACCGTGATCGTTGTGAAACTCGCACCAAAATTTGGGATTCCTCCTGTTTGGGTTTGATCTCATTTCTTTTGGCCACTGTATCTTATCTCCCATACTTCTTAGAACAACCACCAACTCGGATGTGTTTACATTAAAACTATAACCACCAATTTTTGCTTTTGAACTTCTGTCATAGTCTCGCATGTCTCTCTTGTTTCGCTCTTTTCCGAACCTTGACGACGAACCTGATTCTCTATCCCTTGATCTAGGATCATACCTTGGGTTTTTCTATTTTGAACGCAAATCCCTTCCTGCTGGTCCCATATAAGGTTTGTACCTATTTTTACTGGACCTTTTTTCAGTTTATGCCCGCCTTAAACTTACTCTTTCATCTTTCCGAGACTGAGTGATAGTATCTTTTTCTATCCGTAGCTTTGTGTTGTATCTATTATAAACATCATTCCAAGTTGTTTCAGGATATTCTCGTAAGCTTTCTTCGAGTCTCCTCGTGGCTTCGGAGCTTTTTTCATTCAGATTATTAGCAAAGGCCATAGCCGCCCATTTATCAGGTACACGTGGCAACATCATCCTTTCAAGCTGGAATCTGTCTACGAATTCCTTGAGCAGCTCCATATCTCCTTGTTTTATTTTGAAAATATCCTCCATTCTTTTTTTTAACTTTTTAAGCTCCCGAGTGTGCTTTGATAAATGAATCTGCAAGCTCAGCAAAAGAATCAATAGAATTTTCAGGTAAAAGAGAATACCATGTTAGTGCTCCCTTCGTGAGTGTTTCTCCAAATTTTTTGACCAACACTGATTCAATTTCTTGCTTGGTCAAATCGTTGCCCTTTATACCAGTTGTAAATGCAGTTATGTGATCCCGTGGATCAGTTGTTCCATCGTACTTCGGGATATCAGACATCTTGAATTTCTTTGGAATTGGTAAAAGAGCGGCACTTAGCTTCCAAGGTTGTTGAGAGTATTTTTCCATGTCTATCCCCTTGATTACGGGCGATACTCCAGGTATCTGCTCTATGCGATCGCTCTGCTCCTTAAGCTGTTTCTGCAAAGTTAGTACTATACTTTGTTAATCAGAATTAACTAGGCTACCCGACCCTCCATCACGAGATTCGTTGGGAGTTCCTTCGCTGCCTGAGTTAATGAGTCCCGAGTGAGGATTTTCTATGGTCGCGTTGTTGTTTGGAGGTGGTGTTGGTGGTACATTCAACAACCTGCTAACAAAAGCCTGAAGAGTATTGTTGGCCTGTTGAGCGATTAATTGTTTCAATGCTTCATCAATAGCTTGATCATTCTCATGCCGCTGATTCATATTTGATTCAGATCCATCGGGAATCCCTTCTCGAGACTGTCGAGGAGAGTTTTGCTGTGAGGGGGCTGGAGTTCCATCACCTTGTTGATTCAACTAATGTTGTTGATTTGTTTGGTGCTATAAATTTTGTTGGTTGTTGTCGTTGACGTTCGACGTGATTGTTTTGACAAAAGAACTGATTTAGAAAGTAAAAGATTATCAGATTCCCGGCAACGGAACCAATTTGTTTAACCAAAAAATAGAAATTTCGGTCAAAGCCTATTTTTAGAAGAACTCAGGTTACTGATAATAAAATAAAGAAATAATTGTATAACGAGAAAGGAAAATTAGACTGAGAAGTAGTCGAGTAAGCAATATAAAGCAATGTAAATAAGTATATTCCAATAATAATTAGTGTATCCACACAAATGTTATTTCTCTCCCTTTTATAGCTATTTCTAAGTACACTGTTTCATTCCTCTCATAATAGAGCCATTATGAGCATCTAATGACATTAATAAAACGTTATAATTGGCAATCGTAACTGTTTTGTGAAGATTCTATAACGTTTCCTATCATTTACGCTCATTAATTGAAGATATTACAAATTTGTACTTTTTGTTGTCTTGGTTCATTCCACTGGTGTCTGTTCAAATTATCAAGAGCCCCGAGTGACTGTTCCTTCTTGTCTTCTTGACACTTCGCTCGTACCTTAAGACTCACGTCTCTTTAAGTACTCTTTACCAGCTGTCACTTTTCTAATAATCCTCGTGTCTTGACATGTCAATCATATAATTGATTCCAAGTGTAATATCGATTTTTCCCCAATACACGCGTTAAGTGTGATTTGCTCGTCTTGAACAATAGTGAGAGGATTAAATTTCTTAAGATTGTTAATTTTTTTCGCATGTTTTACTGTTACTAACATTTCCAATACTGTAACTTTGTCCAACTCATTTTATGTAGTTCAGAAATATGCTGCAAATTAGACTAAACTACTTCCCTGTTTCGTCATTTGTATTTCCCTTTTCGTAAATTTTCTCATCTTCCGATTATATATTCAATTTTATTTTTCCAAAATCTTGAAAAAGTCCATTAAGAGCCCCTATCTCCTTGTTTCTTTATCTCTCTCTATTCTGAATTTCCGTGTGTGTTGACTTTCTCATATTTAATCTACTTGCATCCTTGCATGGACCCTTCTTAATTACTTCTTCTCTTCACACATATATATATATCTCTTCCTCCACACTCCATTGTCAAACAATTTTTTCCATCTTCATCTTTTCATTACATTTTTGTCCATTAATTCCTCCTAAACAACATTCAAATCACTCCCAAAAAAAAAATATGGAAGAAGTTGAAGTTCCTTCCTATTTTCTTTGTCCAATCTCAATGGAAGTAATGAGGGATCCAGTTACAATCTCAACTGGAATCACCTATGACAGAGAGAACATAGAAAAATGGTTATTTTCATGCAAACACACAACTTGTCCTGTCACAAAACAAGAACTACAAATCACAGATCTCACCCCAAATCACAATCTCCGCCGTCTGATCCAATCTTGGTGCATATTAAATTCTTGTCATGGTATCCAACGAATCCCAACTCCAAAACCTCAAGTTCACAAAACCCATGTTGTTAAAATCCTAAACGAAGCCAAAAAATGTCCAGAAATGCAACTTAAATGCCTTAGGAGACTTAGATCAATTGCACATGCAAATGAGAGTAACAAAAAATGTTTGGAGTCAGCTGGGGTTGTTGCTTTTTTAGCATCAGTGATTAAGAAAAGAGAAGTGGCTTTAGTTGAAGATTCAGAATTCACAAAGGCAAGTGATGAAGCTTTAAATATTCTTTTTCATCTTAATCCTTCTGATGAAGAGTTGAAAAGGTTCATTTCCCAAGATGAACAATTCTTGGATTCTTTACTTCATTTCTTGAAATGTGGGAATTTCCAATCTCGAGCCTATGCGATAATGTTATTAAAATCAGCTTTCAATGTGGCTGATCCAGCACAATTAATTGGTATAAAGCCAGAATATTTTAAAGCTATAGTTGGTATACTAAATGATAAAATTTCCGAACAAGCAACAAAGGCAGCACTCAAGATTCTAGTTGAATTATGTCCATGGGGAAGAAATAGAATAAAAGCAGCTGAAAATGGAGCAGTTTTAGCACTAATTGAACTTCTCCTTGACACAAAAGAAAGAAGGGGTTGCGAATTGATACTTGCAGTATTGGATCATTTATGTAGTTGTGCTGAAGGGAGAGCTGAATTATTAAGCCATGGGGCAGGAATAGCAATTGTTTCAAAGAAAATTCTAAGGGTTTCACATGTGGCAAGTGATAGGGCAGTGAGGATTCTTTGTTCAATATCTAAGTTCTCAGCTACAAGTAAAGTTCTACAAGAAATGTTGCAAGTTGGAGTTGTGTCAAAGTTGTGTTTGGTGCTTCAAGTGGATACTAGTCCAAAAACAAAGGAGAAAACTAAAGAAATTCTAAGGTTGCATTCTAGGGTTTGGAGGGATTCCTTATGTATTCCTTCTCATTTGCTCTCTTCTTACCCTTCATGATTTTAAAGAAAAGGTATCTTGAAGATAAGTCCTTTTTCAAATCCATTGTATTTTTGCCTTTTTCATGTACATAATTCATAGGTTTGACAGGTGTGGTTTTTACCATTGCGGATATATTTTTAAGTGTATGAAAACAACAAGCATAGTAAAAAAATCATCTGATTTATGGATCTAGCTTTTTGAGATATATCATATTTGGAGTGGTTGTATTTTTTGCTATTTGCCAACTTAGAATCTAGTCAGCAGCGGATCCAACATTTAAATTTGATGGGTTCAATCTTTAAGATTTTTAACATTGAACTCTCATTGTATTTTTGATATTATGAGTTTTGATTTAATATTTATTGAAACTGTAGTGATTTTTCACATACATATTAAAACTTTGTGCCAGAAATACTTGGTTTGGTTGAACGCTCAGCCACTAGATCTGCTGGAACCACAAAAGCATTTGAGCTTTCGAAACAAAAAATCATTTTTATGTAATTCCCACTAGTATATTAAAGGAAAATTATCTGCTTATAAATTCTGAAAGTTTTAAGTTAATTTTCCTGGCTAGGGGACCTCTTGGCCTAGTAATAAAGTAGTTGGTAGAAGATGAAATTGGGGTATAGTTCAGAAATTGGAAGATCTAAGCATTAAGAGGACTTAATTAGATCTGTGTTCCAAACGTGTTCTTATTGTTGCCATTTATATATGTTATATCTGACCTATCTATTTATAACTATATTTTTGTTATCTTTATTTAATTAGTCTGAAAAACTATTATCTGTCTTCAAGCTGTATTGATCTGTCCAAAGCTTAGCCCAACCATATAGCCGTATGGCACAGTTCTTAAATGTTTTCAATTTTTCTTATTGTATCTTTTTTTCCTTTGACCTAATAGTAATTGAGGAAATATTATATATATTCAGAGCGTAGGGAACATATAATTTCAAAGCGCACTAAGAATCTACAAGTTATATTACTTTATCCCTTAAACTTATACTATACTTTAGCCAAGTTTTCTTCAATACGACTGTCTGAAAATATTCTCGACCCTTTGTTCAATCACCAGCACAGTGTTAGAATAAGCAAATTAGATATATTAAATGCTGGTTAATACTTTGGGCCTAGTCGTTTTTTACTCTTTGTATTTATAGTTTGGCCCAAATATACAAATTCGGAGTTAGGGGCCCATTCATTGTATTTCTTCATTTTTCCGGGTTACTATAAATAGTGAAGCCCGAGTATGTAATAAGGGGACTTTGATTCATTTTGAGATATACAGAATAAGCGATGCTCTCGAAGCTTCTGTTCTTAGCAAACATGGCGTAAAGCCTAGTCTTCAAACTTTCTCATCTCTTCTATTTCTTCTCATGTTAACATGGTATCAGAGCCGAGATCCATCTAAATCTCGTGCTGAGAGTTCGATTGATTCCACACTCGTCCTCTCTCGTTGTTTTTCTATATACTTCGGCTGATTTTGATTTTCTTGTGAGATTCGTGGTCCGGTGGTGGTTTTTTGCTCAATTTTTCTCCAACATCGTGTTCAACCATCTACTCTATTGCATAGCAGCAGTGAATTTTACTTTCAGACGGTTTCAAGGATTTTGACTGAAATTAGGATTTGCTCGTATCGAAGCTCTATGATGGCGGCTGATATTGAGGTGTTTTTCTGGTTGAAGACCGTAGCTCTTTCCGGTTGCGAAGGAGATTGGTAACATCAACTTCATCCTTCATTACATCTTTGTATTTCTACTTGCATGACCTAGGTTCTCTGTATAATTGATTGTGAATCTGATAACATGACCAACGGAACTCCTGATTCATCTTCAACTCCTGCTATTTCTTGCAATGCCCTCCATGAGGATGATTATACTCATCCATGTCATCCTCTCTATGTGCATCCATCAAATGTTTTGGGGACCTCGTTGGTTTCCACTCCGTTTGATGGAACATATATGGTAGTTGGAGGTGTACTATTCTTGTTGCACTTTCAATTAGAAACAAACTAGATTTTATAAATGGAAACTCTCAGAAGCCTTCACCTACTTCACCTCTTGCCAGACAATGGTAGAGGTGTAATGACCTTGTCATTTCCTGGTTAGTAAACTCCTTGTCTAAAGAAATATCTCGCAGTGTGGAGTATTTAGAGTTTGCTACGGAAATTTAGAATGAGTTAGAAGAGAGATATGGTAAGGCTGATGGTGTTAGAGTTTTAGAACATAAGAAAGAGTTAACACATATTTCCCAGGGGTCTCTTGACATAGCCTCATATTTCAACAAAATCAAATAGTTATGGGATGAAATAACTTCTATATCTGCTGGTCGAACTAGGGTGTGTTCTTGTGGGGCTAAGTCTGCAGAAGATGAGGAACAGAGGGCTTATAAGTTTTTAATAGGTTTGAGTGATACATATGTCCAAACCAAAAGTAATATTCTCATTATGAAACCACTTCCTTCAGTTGGGCTGTGTATAGCATTTTATTATCTGATGAGAAGCAGAGGAATGTGTATACTGCTACTCAGTTTCCTTCTACTTCTGCATCATTTAATGTTGGGGTCTCCAGGTGTGATGACCCGGCCAGTCATCTCATAAGTTACCGCTCCGTTTCCCCTATTTTTGCTTCTTATTGCTTTGTTTATCGGTTCTATGAGTGATCGAGTTGGTTGGCTCGGGTTCGGAAAGGATTTGGTAAGGTTTGAGACACTTAGTCTCTTTTGAGGAAGCTTAAGTTGAAAAAGTCAACCAGATGTTGACTTATATGTTAGAGGGATCGGATGTAAATTTCAATGGTTCGGATAGCTTCGGGAGGTGATTTGGGACTTAGGAGTATGATCAGAATGTGTTTTGGAGGTCCGGAGTAGATTTAGGCTTGAATTGGCGAAATTGGATTTTTGGCGTTTTCTGGTTGATAGGTGAGATTTTGATATAGGGGTCAGAATAGAATTCCGAGAGTTGTAGTAGTTCTGTTGTATTATTTGGGATATGTGTGTAAAATTTCAGGTCATTCAGACGTGTTTTGGTTGGGGTTTTTATCAAGAGCATAATTTAGAAGATTTTATAATTCTTAGGCTTGAATCTGATGCAAATTTGGTGTTTTGATGTTGTTTTGAGTGTTTCGAAGATTGGAACAAGTTTTAATGATGTTATGAAATATGTTGGCATATTTGGTTGAGGTTCCGGAGGCCTCGGGTGAGTTTCGGGTGGTCAATCAGATCATTTCATGTTGTTGAGAATTGCAGAAAAACTGTTGAGTGTTGCAGAGAAATTAGACCTTCACGTTCGCGAGTAGGTCCTCGCGTTCGCGAAGGGTTAGTTGGTGAAGGCTGAGATTTTAGCCTTCGTATTCCCGAGAAAGGCTCCACGTTCGCGAAGGACTGGGTGATCAGGCATCGCGTTAGAGAGAAAGGGAGCGCGTTCGCATAGAGGAAGTTGGGCAGCTGAGTTTCAGGATGTTTATTCATCGTGTTCGCGAGAGAGGGAGCGCGATCGCGAAGGGTCAAGTTGAGGAGCCATCACCTTCGCGAGTGGCTAGTCGCGATCGCAAAGAGGAATGTTTTGGTCAAAGTTGGTTTGTGCTTCGCGAACGCGAGGCGTTGACCGCTCTCGTGAAGAAGGAATTAAGGCCTGGGCAGAATGTTTAAATAGTCTTCTTGTCCGTGATTTTAGGGTTTGTTTCCACCATTCTTGAGCAATTTTGGAGATTTTTGAAGAGGATTGAAGAGGGATTCAAGGGGAAACACTTGGAGGTAAGATTCATGGACTTAATACTCTATTCTTATGTGAATTCTACCTAATTAATCATGGAAATTAAGCCTAAAATTGAAGAACTATGGCTTGAAATTGGAGACCTAGAAATTGGGATTTGAGGGGTCGTTTGTGGTTGGATTTTGATGATGCTTTTGGTATGAATGAACTCGGGGAGTGATAAGGAGTCCATTGATGTAAATTTTATCGAAATTTGAGACGTGGACCCGGAGGTCAGATTTGGCCAATTTCGGGATTTGTGTTGTAAATTGATTTCTTTCGAGTGGGCTTTGTTCTCTTAGCACATTTTGATGGTTTTGCACTAATTTTGGTTAGATTTGGAGCATCCGGAGGCCGATTCGAGGGGCAAAGGCATCACGAGCTAGAGATTTGTACCGGGTAGAGGTGAGTAATAATAGTAAATATTGTCCTGAGGGTATGAAACCTCAGATAACACATCGTTGTGTTATATTGAGATGACGCAGATGCTAGATGACGAACGTGGGGTCGTACACTATCGGGGATCGTGACTTAGTCCATCCCGAATGAATGTTTTACCGCGTATTTGATTAAAAACTATTTGCTATCATCATGTTTTGGGCTGAATGCCATATTTGGGCCTCGTGCCAACTATTTGACGCAGATACTGTTTTCATAACTCAACCATGTTTACTCAGCTTTAACACTTCAATGATATTTTAAATGATATTTTGGACTGAGCACCTTGTTTTACTGTTGCCCAAGTGGCTTGTGAGATTTTGACTGAGTAAGGCCGAGAGCCTATGTTGTGAGGAAACATAGATTATGATTATGAGGCCGATGGCCTGAGATTTGTACGCCACAAGGTGGCTTGTTGATATGAGGCCGAGAGCCTATGTTGTGAGGAAACATAGATTATGATTATGAGGCCGATGGCCTGAGATTTGTACGCCACAAGGTGGCTTGTTGATATGAGGCCGAGAGCCTATGTGATTATGCTACGAGATGGCTTGATATTGCGCTTGGGCCGTAAGGGGACCCTTCAGGAATCTGCACACCCCCAGTAAGCGGGGGTACCCATTGTGATGTAAGATATAGCCCGAGGGGCTGGTATTGTTTCTGAGATATTGCTCGAGGGGCAGATTTACTGATACTGTGTCCAAGGGGCGATCTTTTATGTATTTATCTGTTGTAGCTGCTTTTCATTTAATTATTTAACTGTTAACAAGGCATTTTATGAAGTTTAAACTGAACTAAAGTGACTTGCATATTTTCACTATTTCATTACTTTTACTGCTTCCTTATAGCTTGTGTTGTGACTTATGTGATTTCCTATTTCTCAGTCTTTATTTGCGATTATTGCTCACTGAGTTGGAGTACTCACTTCACTCCCTGCACCTCGTGTGCAGATTCAGGCGCATCAGGTCCCGCTAGCGAGTGTTGATCTTTCCAGCTCAAACGGATTCGAAGATTCACTAGGTAGCTGCCGGCATTCGCAACCCAAAGCTTCTTCCCTTATCTTATCTT